ACCTACTCTCTCTCTCTCTCTCTCTCTCTCTCTCTGCTTCTTTCACATCTCTCTCTCTTTAGGTTTCGTCCACACCCTCAAATGAAACCCCCTCTCTCTCTTACACACAAAATATGTATAGGCTGCAAAAATGCATGGCTTTTTTAAGTGCTTTCTCTTCTCTCTCTTTCACGAACATTTGTTAAACACTCTCTCTCTCTCACTCAGAATTCAATCATTTTTGGAAGGTTAGCTTGTGTTTTCTGCACACAAGCTTCAAAAAATTAGATCCATATCTTTCCGTTTTTTTTTTGGGTAATTTAGTGGAGAAGACAGTCCCCTACCTATTCTTTATTTTCAAGTAGCTTAGGGAGTTAGTCTTTTGAAAGGGTTAATGGGGCGGTGTCGATTGAAATGAAAACCACAACGTGCTGACTAAAGTGTGGGGATACTACCACGACCTTAGCCCTTTTCATAAAATTCATACTTCCCTACCGGGGGTGTAAGGGAGATGCCTATGTCCGGTAGGGCTTATCAAGTGAGTCCAGCAGCTTGGCCCATTTGCACCAATTTAAACCTATGAAAAAAACTACGACTCGACCAAGGGGATTTGCTTTGGTTGAGCCGAGTAACTTGGACTCATCCCAAGCTGGACCGAGTCTGGCCAAACCAAACAATATTAAAAAATAAAAATAATACAAAAAATCCAAAAAATAAGACAAATATGTTTAAAGTAAAATTAAACAAAACACATTTAGGTCAAAATGCAGTGAAAAAATAGATTTTGAAAAAATCAATTTGTAACGGGGTATTTTAAAAATAATACAAAAAAAGGAAAAATGTAAAAATAATTCATGACCAAAACACTTTCTAATATTTATCAAAATGATAAAAAATATAAAAAATATTACAAACAAATTTCTTTTTTCTTTACATTTTTTAAGAAGTTGGGGGTCCAAATTACTCGGTCCTATCTTGTTACATTCTCCTCTCCAAAAAAAAATAGAACAATATTTCCTTTTTTAAAAACTGGAAATTTTGAATTTTTATTATTCTTTACTGTTTTGAACTAAAGCCTATATAATTAGGCCAGTCAAACCTTAATGCTAGGCTCGGTTATGGCCCATTAAGTTTAGGGCTTGACCCGTCGCCAATGTGCTTTATGGTGGGGCCCAACCAAGCCTATGTTTGGCAAGGCTTTAAAAGGCCTACAATCTAGCCCCATTCTCACCCCTACTTCCCTATAAGAGTGTGAATGCTGGGCCTTTGAAGTCACCTCTCTCCTTATTCAGCCAAGACCATTCTATATCGAACTTTTCAAATCGAGTTAGGAAGCGGTGAGAACCCGGGGAGGCAGACTGCACAATTTGCTCTAGCAAGTTTACTTAAAGCTATTTAAGTTGTTTTGACATGGAAAAATATCAAATTCATCGTCTCCATATTAAGATGCATAGAAAAATATATTTAAGTTTTTTAGGGCACCTTACATTCTATTTTCAATATTTTTATGTGTTTGTAGATCTACTTGACTTGAGCTATTTTTGACGCTTCAATTTTTTTAATTAGAGATAAAAATAGGTTCTCGCACTCTACTAAGAATTTTTGACACCAAAATTGTATCTCATGATAAGATTCAGAAATGCACCTTCATTTGATTGTTTTAGGTTGCAATCTTATGTAAACATCAACCCCAGACTTCCTCCTAACTTGGGCTCAGGATCCTAGCACGTTAGTGTTAGAATTCTTTGAGGGCTTGTTTGGTTCTTCGGGTTCAAATTTTTAGGAGTCATTTTTCTTTGGAAATCTCAATTCCACTGAAATAGGTGAAATTGACATTTCATGAGAACGACCCATTTTTTCACATACCCGTATTAAAATTTTAGAGAAGGAAACCATATCAAGTTTTAGAGAATTTATTAGAGAGAGAAAATACATGATTTTTTTTAGAGAGAGGAATTATCTCAAATTTTTAGAGAAAGGTACTATATCAAATTTAAAGTTATAGAGAGCATCTAAAATTTTTAGAGAGAGAAACTATATCAAATCTTAAGATTTAGAGATAGAAAGTATCTTAAAATTTTAGAGAGAGAAACTACATTAAATTTTAGATAAAGGAACACTATTTAAATTTTGTAAGAGAGAATATCTCAAAACTTTTAGAGAGATAAACTATCTTAAATTTTAAGTTTTAGAGAGAGAAAATATATTAAAATTTTAAAGATAGACTGCATCAAAATTTAGAGAAAGGAACTACTACATTTTTTGTTAGAGAGAAATATCTCAAAACTTTTAGAAAGAGAAACTATCTCAAATTTTAAGTTTTAGAGAGAGAGAGAGAGAGAGAGAGAGAGAGTTTATTAAAATTTTAGTAATAAAAAAAAATATAAAAGTTTAAATAAAAAAACTGCCTTTAAATTTTTAGAGAGAGAAACTAAATCAAATTTTAAGTTTTAGAGAGAAAATATCTTAAAACTTTATAGAGAGCAACTATATCAAACTTTCCATGGAGAAAGTACATGAAATATTTAGAGAGGGAAACTATTTCAAAAATTTTAGATAGAGAAACTATCTCAAATTTTAAGTTTTAAAAACAAAATATACTAAAATTTTAGAGAAAAAAACTATATGAAACTTTTAGATAGAGAAACTATCTCAAAATTTAATTTTTAGAGAGAGAATGTATCTTAAAATTTTAGAAAGAGTAACTATATCAAATTTTAGAGTGAGAAAGTACCTAAAATATCTTAGAGAGGAAAACTATCTCAAAATTTTTAGAAAGAAACTTTCTCAACTTTTGAGTTTTAGATAGAGAAAACACCTTAAAACTTTAGAGAGTGAAACTATATCATATTTTAGAGAGAGAAATGACTTGAAATTATTTTAGAAAGAGAAACTGTCTCAAAATTCTAATAAAGAGAAACTATCTCAAATTTTAAGTTTCAAAGAGATAAAGAATCTCAAATTTTAAGTTTTAAAAGGATAAAGTACCTAAAATTTTAAGTTTTAAAAGGATAACGTATCTCAAATTTTAAGTTTTAGAGAGATAAAATATCTCAAATTTTAAGTTTTAAAGAGTGAAAGTATCTTAAATTTTTAGAGAGAAAAAGTATATAAAATTTGCATTTCTAAGAAAAAGATAATCTAGGCAATCCAAACAATGAATTTGTATTTTTCTGGTTTCTACTAGAGGCAACACAAATAGCATACACCATATTTCAGGAAATGCCAAGTCCAATAAATACCGACTCCAAGTACATTTTTCTAGAGGATTGAAAAATAAAGGGGACCAAACGGGCCCTTAGTTATTATTGTGGTGTTGGGACTGAAATATTTTGGCACCATTTTTAGGGTTCATTACTCTATTTGCAAGCAAAGATTAGGCTAGGAACATGTGTGTATCATAAACTAATTTTAAGGACATTGGTTTCTAGAACTCAAATTAAGATGAAATTTCCCATTAGTAAAAAAAAGAAAAAAGAAAAAACCATTAATACTATCATTGCAAAAATGTTAGGGCGGCCATTAAAAATTTAACAATTTCACGTACAACAAAATAAAGGGATGCGTTGGATTCATAAAGGTTGAAGGAAGCTGCTACATTTTTTATTTTATTTTTTTGCAATTTTTTTCTTTTCCTACAATAAATATGTAATGGGAATCTAATTTAATGAGACTTTTACGGCATTCACTTATTTTAATTTCCAAGGGTCTTCACTCTACGACCCGAATCAAGGGTGATAATACGGATTCGAAGTCACATATGACGGATTGTTACAAAGTGACCAAATTTAAGATTATAATTATTGTTATTATTATTGTTGTCGTTGTTGTTATTGTTGTTGTTGCTATTGTTCTTGCTGTTTAGTAGTAGTAGTGAATGTATAATATTGTCTATACTACGATTTACGCCGATCTCGATAATGACATCAACTCAAATATTTGTAAAATAGAAAAAGTGGGGTCGTTTGAATTATGGGCTCAGAAACGACACAAATCTATTCAAAGCCCATTCGTTCCTGAGTTCATTGGCAGCGCTAGCTCCAAATCTATATTTTAACTTAAAATTGCTTCTAAATCTAATAATAAATTAAAATTTAAAAAATAATAAAATAAAACAGCGAATTAAATGAATAAAATAAAATAAAATAAGCAGATAAATAAATAATTATATCTAAGGACTCATAACCTGAAGTTTCGGACTTGGATTAGGCCGCGCTTCAAATTTGTGCCACTACCTCATTTTTAGATGCTTTATGCTTGTTGGAATTAGTAGATCTAAGGTTCTTTGACCTAGATCTAAAGTTCTTAAGGCTAGGAAAAAACTCATAAAATTTAGGTAAGATTTACCTAGT